CAAAAATAAATCATCGGTTCCACCCTCAAATGCGGGGCGCATGCACGTGTGTGTGTGTGTGTGTGTGTGCGTGTGTGAATACGTATATGACAAGCACCCCCCACCTCCCAAAAAAAGAATAATAATAATACAAATAAAAGAAAAAAAAAAAAAAACGGGCACACAAATCCAAAGTTGGAGGCGCAGGGGGGAATGAAAAACAACGCGCCCGATTTCTCCAAAACAACACCCCAAAGTTGGTTGGTGTTGGCACATGAAACACAACCGCCCGGTTAGAGGCGTGCGATTCCCCCCGTTTCCCTGTCCCCCGTGAAGACCGCAACGTGCGTGCTCCTCCCCTTCCCACACGCCCACGCACACACACACACCCTTCCCAAACAAATTAAAACCCACACGTATTCCTCCAGCGACATTTTTTGTCTTCGTTTTTTTTTTGTTACCTTTTACTACTGTTCTCCACCGTGGGGGGACCCCCCTCCACTATGCAGTATGCGTCCCCCCACCCCACACACACATTGTATTCGTTGCACTTGTCTAGTTGTGTTCTTTACTCATCGTTCTTTGCACCTGCTGGATGTTTGGCCAGCATCACCGCACTTTACGTCAACTATCAGCACAACGTCAGTAACACAGTCTATCGGCACATCTATATTTACATAAGTTTTTTTTTCTACCTATTCAGTCCTATTTTTTTTTTCCTTCCTTGTGAAGTGAGCAAGTTTGTACTTGGCCACATGAACCCACAACGTAAGTTCTGCGAGACCGCCATATTCCTCTCCACCGCCCCATTCTTCACGGCATCACTGTAATCAGTGGATGCGTCGTTCTTACGTTGCTGATATAATATACCCCAGAGCCTGTGTATGTGTATGTGTGTGTGTGTCTGGGACACACATGCGTATAAATGCAGAGAAATAAACGTGCGTGCTGCTGCGTGTGCGTGGGTGAAGAAGCGTGTACGCCTCCCTCGCCGCTGTCATTCGATGATAAGCGAAGCATAAGAGAAACCACATGAGGAAGGTGAGCACCATTTTTTTTGTTTTCTTTCCTTTTCACGATTCTGTCTTTTTTTTCCTGCATGCTCATTTCTTCTCCGTGCCTCCCACCTTCCAGTGTCCTCGCCTCTCCGCCTAACCCCCGTGTTGCTGTCGTCGCGTGATACACCTCACGCCACGCAGCCGCACCACACACGCAGACAGTCACACATGCCAAACACCGTCCTTCGCATGCGTATACATGCCTGCGTGGATCCCGCAACGGCCGTAATTTTTTTGCCGTTGCCTTCCCCCCTCTGATTTTTCATCTGATTATATATTGTTTTCTTTTTTTTTTTTTTTCGCCCCAGCGCGTCTCCGCATCTACCACTCGCCGGTGGCGTGGAGGCGTTGCCACCAGGCCGCCAACGCACAGAGACACACACACGTACAAAGAAAGAGATAAAGGCGCAGAGGCGGCTTTGTTAATTGTCGCGTAACGCGGCGGGGGGAAAGTTAAATCAAAAATAAAGCAAACAAAAAAAAAACGTAAATGGAACAACACAAAAATGGAACTAACAAATCGCCGAGAGGTGGGAGCCGCTCTGATGGACGTTGTGGCCGCCACCGCCGCTACCGCGCAGAGAGCCGCGTTACCACGAAATACATTTTACCCCGCTTCCTCCCACCCCAAAGAGGCTCAGAACACGAAAATACTCAACCATCATTGTTAGTTACGCATGCTTACACTTTTAACCTCCACCTCCCCCCCCCCCTCCGCTCCCGGCGCGTGTGGTGCCCGCCGCCCACACCACCACCACACGTTTGCATTGGCTTAACGACACATGTAACAGACCGTCAAATTACAACTTTCAAAAACAATGATGAAAAAAAACGCAATATATATATATATATATATACTAAGTCACTGAACGAACAAAAAAAAGTAAAAAGTAGAGGCGCGTTCAGGAAGAGGCTCTATGATTGTCCATGACTGAACAGTCCACATCGCACGTCAGTGATGACGGCCGCAGGACCACCGCCACGAAGTAGAAAAGCATCGCAAGTACGCACAAGGCACCAACACTGCATGGAAGTTCCGGACAAGACAAATATACATGTACAGTACTCCGCTGCGGTGGGTGCAAGTGTGCATGCGTGTGCGTGCCTCGGCTTGTGTGAGAAACACATGGATAGAAGAAAAATAAAGACGATGGTCGAGGGGCGTACGGAGGCATCGGGAAGGAGGAGCAAAAGTGTGTGACAAAGTCAGAAAATACTCGATATAAAAAGGGAAATGAAAGGAAAAAACTAAAAAATGGTAAAAAGAAAAAAAAAGAAAACTTTTGCCCCAT